CTCGCTCTAGCTCTTCCCTCTGACTCTTCGCATCAGTGCCACTCTTCTCGTCCCTCTTTCTCTGTCTGTTTCCTGTCTCTTCTCTTTTGCTATATTTATTTCTCATACTCTCAGCCTTGCTCGATATCTTCCTCTACATCTTCCTATATATATTTATATCTATATCTACATCTTCTGTATGTCTCTCTCTCTTTTTTCTCTTTCACTCTCACTGCCATTATTTCGTTTCTTTTCTCTTCTCTCTCTCTCTCTCTCTCTCTTTCTCTGTCTCTGTCTGTCCCTCTCTTTCCTCTTATCTCTCTCACTCTCAATATCTCTTATTTTTCTTTCTATTTGTCATCGTCTCTTTTCATGCTCTTTCCCGCTCATTGTTTCTTTCTCTGCCAAACTAAGTTTTCTCTCTTCCCCGATCTCTCTCTTTCTTTACTCTCGCTGTCACCTTACCTTTAGTATCTCTTTCTATGCTTTCTCTTCTATATCCACTCTCTCACACTCTTTTATTTTATTTGCCCCTTTCTAAGTCTCTTCTTGAGGCCTATAATAATATACGCCTGCACTCTACTTATAGATGCATACTCAATAAATAAATTAGAATTTCCGAATATCACATTAGCATAAATATATATTATTAATGAAGAATATATGCCAAGCTGGTTATTCGGTTACTGCTCGGTGTATATACTTAACGATTAACTGTGATGATGATATGAAGATCTTGACTTTGCAGTGGGTTAAGTCCAAAATCATTTGACTCAATGCAACTTTTCTTCCCACACACAAAAGTTAGTAAGTTTCTTCCATAACTGATTCGTGAGCTGACAAGAGCTGAAAATCCTATAGACAGACGTTCACGAGTTTTGGAATACGAAATACATTTCCGCTGCTGCAAGCTGCCTCGTTGCATGCCCTTTGCATTGATTAAGGTGTCTTGTTAATTGTAATCTAGAGTGAATTGTGCCTCATATCTCACGATGCGCTTCCGCAGCAACAGCAACAGCTACAGATGGAGATACAGATACAAAGCTCAAATTGTCGGATGCTGCGTAATAATAATGCAATTTCATGCCGCATTATAATCAATTCGTGGCTATGCTCGATGTAGATCAGATTCTTATATAACATGCGGATGATTATTGAAATAGTAAATAAATGTTGCGAGAGCTGAAAAATAAAGTGGCAAGCGAAATGGCCAAAAACATTTGTTTTCTGGCTGGAAGTTTGTCTATGGTTTGATAGGCGATTGATGCTTGTTAATCTATAAGATTCTCGGGTAATGCAATAATTGAAAACGCTGCTTAAAAATAGCTACAATGTACTAGCCTTTGGCCTTTTGCAAGCCAGTTTGATTGAAGCATGATTGATTGGTTGGATTTTTTCTACTTTAAAACTGATTGAGTTAATAACTTAGCTTAGTTTCTTATATACTTAGCTTAGAGATTTTTGCTGCTCGGCTACTTCAATCATCTGTTGATTGATGCTTGATTGATTCATCATTAATACTTCATTGCTGTTGAACAATATGGCTTACCTTCTGCTACTAGAAAAGACAGTATCATTTTATAAGAGAGATTCTAACAGCTGGCATTTTGATTGATTGATGAATATTATTTCGCAATTCTGCAATTGATTGAAGCTGTTGTTGTCTTATAGCCAAAAGATTATTAATGATTGATAAAATATTCATAGCTATGGGTACTCAAGAGATATTCTTATATAATAAGCAATTGCTGTTGTAAAAGCTGGCAATGCCTAAAGCGAGAGGTGAAAATGAACTGGCGAAGCGACGCACTTGGCACTGGCCAAGAGACACGCGCTTTCTGGCCATTTCGCGGCAATTCAAGCCATTTCGATTGATGGAGAAAATCCATTGCTATCCTATTCCCAATCGCAGCTCGACAGGCATATCATCTGGCTGATATGTGGCTAAAGTAGCGCGACGGCTGCTGCTGCTGCTGCTGTTGTGGCGTCTCCTTTGCAGGCAACAACAACTTTCACAAAACTTTTGCCCAGTTGCCAGGTGAGATTTTGCTAGTGCGGCCGACTGTCAGCCTGGCTGCAGTACGAGCCGATTCGCAATTCTTATTACAGAATCAGGTGCAACTTTTGCTTTTGTGGCAAGCCTCCGCACGTTGTTGTTTATGTCACTGAACCGACTGCATCGGGCCGCACGTTCGGTTGACAGTAAAAGTAAGCGAGAAAAGTGAACGCATTCGAAGTCGACCCACTTTGACACACTTTGACTCGGCCCCAAAAACGATTCTCACTTGCAACTTCAACTCCAACTTCAGGCAGTGGCTTCAACGCGCAACGGATGCTGCACAAAAACCAATCACATCACATTGTCTTCCTCTTCTTTTTCTTTCTTTTTCAAGCTTTTTAAACGCATCGCGAACGCAGCTGGGGGCCAGCAATTTTTGGGAAAATCTCGAATGGTCAGTTTGTGAAATAAAATGAAAATAAAATCGGGTGGCCCAAAGCCAGCGGCTAGTGTCGTATGTCAGTCGTAGAAATTAAATACGAAAACCGGCCACCAGCTCGCAATCAATATAAAAATCGACGCAGCCACAAAGTCACCGACTGCAACACGCTCTGTTTGTAGCGTGTAACTAGAAATAGTGCGAATTAAACTATGCCACAAATTTAGTTCCTTTTTGACGGCTCTCATTGGGAATTACATTTTTGACAATTTTTGCCATTTTACTGGAATATTACAAAAATATTTTTTTATATAAAAATAAATATTTTATGTAAAAACTTCTTAAATTAAAGTATATACCTTTACCCAAATTTATGCGAAATAAATAACTTAGTAAACTTAAAACGTAGGTTTCGATATTAATATATATATATATGGGAAAGTGTGTTAGCTTAAAAAAGAATTTTAATATAATATACCAAAAAAAAAATTAAATAAAAAAATTAATAAAAAACAAACTTGAAACCAAATGTTAAATATTTTTTAATTACATAAATCATGTATGTTCTCATAAATCATAAAATTAAAAACTTAAAGTACATTTTTTATGGATAACATTTTATTTATTTTATATATGGTAAAATATTTAAAATAAATAAAGAAATTATAAATTTACGCAATACTTATATATAAAATATTTTAAGCAAAAAATTAAAAGTATGAAGTCTTAAAATTGAACTGAATTGCAGCATCTATTTGTCCAATCTAAAGATAGCTTAAATTATTCTAAAAACTGCTTTAAAAAAAGCTAAAATTTTTATAACCCAAACTAATATTTTTAGAAACAAAAGTTGAAAAATGGCATTTTATATATCTATATATATAGTAAAATATATAAATTTCAGCAAACTTTTAAAGCTAACCCATATTCCTTGGCAAAACTCATATGTAACCTACGCGTATATACCCCATGTCACCTAATAAACAGTGTATAGAAGTAAAGATTTTTGCAAACAAAATCGCGCATCAAACGAGCAATTGGCGTGACTTAATGATGCATAAATCAAAGCGGGGCCAGTACGGATTGGGCAGCTGCCCCAATGGGGCAAGTGCCGCACGCAGCTGAGGCATCTGCAACAAACCAATTGCCAGATGAGTCGCGTATGTGGGCAAAAACATTTATGCGGCTTTAATTGCGTGCTTTGCAGTTGCCAATGCCAATGCCAATGAAAGTAAGTTGCCTCGAGACGACGAGAAAAGTAAAATAAGAGTCAAGGAAAACTGATAAAGTGGCCAACCAGAATTTCCAGCTAAGCGCAATCCTTTTAAGGCAACCAGATCTCAAATTCTTTTTTTTTTCTGTTTTCTTCATTTCAGTTTTTAGCCGCAATGCATTTCACTTTTTTTCATTAGCAAACAAACATTTGCCAATTTCACAATCTCCAACACTCGGCGGCGCATTAGCTAAAATAAAGGTAAGGCAGGTAAACAAATGAAGAAATATAGTCAGTGAGTAAACCAGGTCGAAACAACTTAAAGTCAATTTCAGGCAAAAGAAAGAAAACGGAAGAAAAAATACTTAAATATTTGTATTAAATTTAAGTTTAAGTAAAATTAATTTTAAATTAAACTTAATTTGAAATATTTTTTTAAAATTTACTTTTAAGTAAAAAGTTATGGATTCATACGAAATAGTACTAGACAAGGCAACTATTATTAGTCTACAGTAGTGAATAAATAAACAAATTCCAACACTTATGAAGTCTTTGATCAGTCAACCTTATCACACAGTTGATATAATAAACAAGCTCTTACATACCTAATACTTTGCATTACATCAGAACCTGTGAAATGATATCAGCCAACAAATTCGTATTTAAAAGCTTTTTCGTTTGTTTATGCCTCAGTTCGAGTTCTCTCGTCGAAACGTTTAGAGCAAAACGAAAAGAAAATATCAATTACTAGTTCAGAAATGTTCTGTTGGAGGGAAAACTCGCCACATTCTGGCCCGGTGAGCCATCATTGCCATGAGGAGAGGTCTGCGCCATCACATCATCATCATGGACACCACCATCACCACCACCACCACTACCACCACCACCACCCTAGCTCCTTCAGTGGATTTCTATGGAATCGTCAACATGGACATTGCGACACTCTGCGGCATCACTTCCATAGATCCAAGTGTTTTTTTCGTGATTCCAAGAAGAACTTTGTGCAGGAGGAGCCCAAGCAGTTGTTTGACTACAGTGAAAACTACAATTAGACGTACAATATGTTTGTCATTAATTTATTTATGGTTCAGATGGTTCTGGTTTTAAGTCATGACTCATAAAATATTTAAGTACATTTTTAAAATAAGCAAATATAATAAATATTAAAAACAAATATCTAAAGCATTTTGATACTTTGTTTAAAAACCAAAAGCATTAAAGGCGCTAAATTGATAGGGCTGAAAAATATCGATATATCGATATATTTGGCATTTTTTAGTAGATTAACGCGCTTTAATACTAAAATGCAGTATATTATCGATATCAAATAAAATCAGTCAAGCTCAAGCTTTTAAATGTTTATAGATTTGCATTTAAATTAACAAATTACGTGCTTGGAGTATTCATATTGTATATATTTGTGTTTAATTTGAATGGCTCTGCATTAATAATACCAGAGCACATAAATATAGAGCACAATTAGCACGAAGAGCAAATGTATGAGAAACAATTCGATGGCCAACGTGAACAAAGCCAGCGGATTAACAGGCGTAAATGTAATCAGGGCAAACATATTGCAGCAGCTTGGAGTTCACGAACTCAGGCGGATTGCAGCTTTACTCTTGCACAGTGAAGGTTAGCTGCTTGTTGCGGGAGCTTTCGAATCGATTAGGCGTATGAATGCTGAGCATGGCCGTGATGCCCAATGAGAGGATGCCCAGCAGGAAGGCGGCAACTAGCAGGCCAGCCAAAATAGGTGTCGTGATGAAGCCAACGCAGTCATAGACATCGCCAAACTCTTTGCGTCCATTTAGCCAGGGCTGCACTTGGTAGTCGGACAACACCAGGTTCATCTGTGTCTCATTGGTGTTCCTGTTGCTAAAAAGCAGCTCCTCGGAAGAGCAGCGGAAGGAGAATCCCAGCGGCGCCGATGGCAGCGTATATTCATTGCCAATAGCCGGCAGCACAGCCTTGTAGTCCCTGTACTCCACCTCGACGTTGCGCATATGCCAGGTGCCACGCAGCAGCGAGAACTTGAAGCGCAGCGTGCACTTCTCACTGTTGTACATGAAGGTGATGCTCAGACGACCGTAGCCCTTGGAGCGCTGATCATCGAAGGTGATGTGCTTGTTGTGCTCCTCCAGCAGCAGTGTCTCGTTGCTCAGACGTAGTTCGGGCGGTCCGGTTAAGATCAGCACAGCCTTATTTCCCTCAGCAATATAGACTTGGGTCACTTCGGTCTCAGTGAGCGTCGACTGTGTGGTGGTGGCACGATTTGTGTCCTCCTCCTTCGCCTCGTCCTTGGCCTCGCGCTTGGCCAGATAGTGTGCTTCTTCCTCGCGACTGGCTAAGATACCCAGCACTTCTCCATGGCCATAAATGGTTATAGCATCATTGTAACCCGTCAGCAGCTCAGCGTCGTCTTCTTCACTCAGTCCGCTGAGGTTGATGACCTGCGCAAAGGAGGCAAGCGGTTGCTGCTCTACATAAAAGTCATGCAAGCTATGCATAGATACACACCTCAATGTTGGCGTTGTAGCTGTAGGGCTCCACGGCCAGGCTGCGCTGCGGCAGATATGTCCACGCGTTGCTCTTCACCAGATTTTCAAACTTGGGATATTTAGTGCCCTCCAGGCGGCTTGTAGCGTTGCGCACAAAAATTATTATCGCCTTGACATCCTTGAACAGTTGCGTCAGCGGCTGCTCCCTGCTACTGGCATCGACTAACGCTTGGGGTTGCAAATTGAATACCTTCTCGTGACCCCAAAACAGATACGGTCCACTTATAGCTGCACTGCAGCCGAGCACCAGACTTATGAATACCCCAATTGCAATTAGCTGCATTATTCGATCTTAACTCCTGCTAAGCTGACAACACGTTCGACTGCACTTTGCCCCGAAAACTGACTGTGAAAAATCTTGAGCGGAAAAATCGATGAGTCTGACTTGGGCACGGCGCAGGCGCAGAAAAGGTTTACACATCGAATTCAGCTCACTTTTTGGGGGTTGCTGGCCAAGCGAGCAACTGTTTTCTAGAGGGTGGCTTATCATGATGGCAACCTGTTGATAGTTCTTTTAAAGATGTCTTAGGACTAAAGGACGTACAGGATATCTACAATCAGCTCAAGACTTTTAATCAGTTGAAAACTCCGATGTTTCCCATAGAGTCTACATCTACTTATACATAGAGAGAGGCATATCTTATCGATATTAAACCCGTAAAGCCAAGCGGCTCAAACTTTAGTTCCTTTTCAAGTTAAATATAAAAATATATATTTATATAATAATATATAAAATTTTGGAATACAAAGATGATATTATTAACCTTTTCCTTAAGCTATAGAAAATATTTACAAAAGTTGAATAACAACTAAATTGATGACTGTCACAGCTAATACATAAAACTTTGGCTGGGTTGGCGCTAAACTAGACGAGAAGCTGCCCCTGAAGGTTTTGGTGCCTGTAACACAGAGAGAGTTATATTTAATATCTTTAATCTTAAGACATGCGACCTGCGCAAAGGAGGCAGATCGGTTGCTGCTCTACATAAAAGTCATGCAAGCTATGCATAGATACACACCTCAATGTTGGCGTTGTAGCTGTAGGGCTCCACGGCCAGCTGCGCTGCAAATTATTATCGCCTTGACATCCTTGAACAGTTGCGTCAGCGGCTGCTCCCTGCTACTGGCATCGACTAACGCTTGGGGTTGCAAATTGAATACCTTCTCGTGACCCCAAAACAGATACGGTCCACTTATAGCTGCACTGCAGCCGAGCACCAGACTTATGAATACCCCAATTGCAATTAGCTGCATTATTCGATCTTAACTCCTGCTAAGCTGACAACACGTTCGACTGCACTTTGCCCCGAAAACTGACTGTGAAAAATCTTGAGCGGAAAAATCGATGAGTCTGACTTGGGCACGGCGCAGGCGCAGAAAAGGTTTACACATCGAATTCAGCTCACTTTTTGGGGGTTGCTGGCCAAGCGAGCAACTGTTTTCTAGAGGGTGGCTTATCATGATGGCAACCTGTTGATAGTTCTTTTAAAGATGTCTTAGGACTAAAGGACGTACAGGATATCTACAATCAGCTCAAGACTTTTAATCAGTTGAAAACTCCGATGTTTCCCATAGAGTCTACATCTACTTATACATAGAGAGAGGCATATCTTATCGATATTAAACCCGTAAAGCCAAGCGGCTCAAACTTTAGTTCCTTTTCAAGTTAAATATAAAAATATATATTTATATAATAATATATAAAATTTTGGAATACAAAGATGATATTATTAACCTTTTCCTTAAGCTATAGAAAATATTTACAAAAGTTGAATAACAACTAAATTGATGACTGTCACAGCTAATACATAAAACTTTGGCTGGGTTGGCGCTAAACTAGACGAGAAGCTGCCCCTGAAGGTTTTGGTGCCTGTAACACAGAGAGAGTTATATTTAATATCTTTAATCTTAAGACATGCGGTACTCACGCTTCTCTTTGATATCCCTAACACCGCAGGTGCGATAGGAGATGGTGGCCTTGCGTTTGGTATTCACATAGCCCGGTATGAAGAGAGTCGGAGCATCGAGGCGGCCGGCGGCTATCAGACGCGACATATCCAGCTCGAGGCGATGTGCCAGAGGTCCCTTAAAGTGTATGATCATCTGTATGCAGGCGCCGCCATGCAGCTCCTTTGTGCGTCGTGCATCCACATCCAGCATCCACTCCGGAATGCCCATCACCGAGCGTAGCTCCTCCAGAAATTGAGCGCTGTAAATAGAGCAGATGTCAGTCATGTATGGCAACATTGATTGAATGATTGAATGATTGAACTTACACAACAAAACGTGGCGGCTTTTGCAGATTGATGTACTTGATGACATTATGATCCGGTTCGATGTTGGCGCAGGCGAAACGCTCGTGCGAATGATCCGGTCCAAAGATCACAATCGAACGGCCAATGGCGCCAACGGGCGCTTCCAGCGGGAAGTTGGAATCGGTGAGCACCACGCGCTCGCCACCAAGATCTAATGGGCATTGAAATAATCTATAATATTTCAGGCACTTGCAGCTACTCACCTATGGTGCCCAAGCGGGCGCCCACATCGCCCACATAACAACGCAGCGGATTATCCGGTCCGCACTCTTGCTCATAGAGATCGAGCTGTAAGCAAGGCATAAGTTAGTCTTCGATAAGTTCTTCTGCCTATTCACACTGTTAACCTACATTCAAGGGATCGGCCAGCTGTGTGTAGAACGGATTCCAGACATAGCCACCAGCTACGCAACGTGTTATGGTTGGCTTGACGGCAGCATCAACGCCCACCGGATTGACAAAGATCTGCCAGTTGTGATTGCGCGTGGAGTTGCGATCGTTTTTGCCCGGATGACGCAGCTTGACCTCAATCACAGTCTCCGATTGACTGCCATCGTTGTGAATGAGCTGTGTCATCTTTATGTAGCCATAGGCATAGCCCGTGGGATGATGGAATGAGGCGATGGCACGCAGCTCACGCGCTTCACTTGGACTATAGCCTCGTTCCAGCGTGCTGACATAAAATATTATATATTTATATACAATACTTGATGCTACTTATAGCAAATCAGCTTGTCACTTAGTCAATGGGCTGTCCAACTAGACCTACACTCAATTAATGTGCCCACAGGCCACCCACTCAATTTGTCACTTTGTCAACCCATGACTCAGTCAATCTGATAGCTCTCACACAATTACCTGCAAGCCCAGCGAGCATTTTTCTGCTGCTTGTGAATGATCACAGAGCGTCCGATGATGCTGGTGTAGCCGAATAGGGGAAGATACGTGTCATTGTAGGCATCCTCGTATTGACTGAGCCCGTTAAGTCGTCCAAACTTGCCGCTCAGGTCGCCCATCTCATACTGATCGCTGGTGCCCTGCTTGGGCGGTGGCGAGGACTTTGGGTTGACAGCAAAGGGATTCCAATGGCCGTACAGCGTGGAAGCCTCGCAAGGAAAGGCCAGGTTGGCCTCGACGGGTGTCTGCAGAAGATCGCATTAATGAGTAACTTAAGCCCAAGGTAAGACAGATGATGATCTACCATGTGTATGTGATAGCCGCTGTTGTCCTGCAGTCCTTTGAGCTGCACCTCCACGTTGCTGATGTCGTACTCCGACTGCTGCGTTATTTCCAGCTTGCCGGCGACTGTGAGTGCATCGCCGTTGGCATACCAGTCCTTGGCCACCACCTTGCGACGATAGTGACCGATCAGACTGGAGCAGGCCAGTCGCTCGCCTCTTGCCTTTGGCCCATTGTCGTCGTAGATGACCAGGGATTTGCCCAGTATGCTGTGACTGCCCGACAGCGGTAGATTCCCATCGATGAACATGCGACGGCTCAGCTGCCGCGCGCTGCGCTTGCCGCCAGCTATTGTCAGCTTGCCCAGACGCGCATCCAACGCGCCCAAGCGGCACATGGCTGGCAGCTGGGGTTGGCAGTAGTCGTCAACGCTGCGATTGCCCCAGTCCACCTTGAACGGATTGAAGACAGCGCCAGTGGAGAGGCAGCGCTGCTGCCAGTCATAGAAATCCTTGCCCGGCGGATTGCTATGCATTGCCCAGCGGTGCTCGTAGGTGCTGTTCTGCGTGGAGCCATCCGCCTGTATCAGATACTCAAAGAGCACCGTCGTATCCTGCCAGGGCTGCTCGGCGGCCTGGCGAAAGATGACGCGACCAACAATCGGATAGCGGAACAGTACCTAAAAGGAAGTGAATGATTAGATCAATCACAGAATAATCCCCAAAAGGCTTTACCTGCGCCGTAAACATGGGCTGCTGGTAGATGCCATTCCGCTGGTATTGATTCAGCGTTGAGCAGCCCCAAATATTCTTGGTTATGTTGTGGACATCGTTGCGGTTATAGGTGTAGATGACCAGACTGCGATGGGCGATGCTGTGACGACCCTGCAGCGGCAGATAGAGATCCCAGTAGAGGCCGCTCAGCTCGGAGCTGGTGCCGGGCAGGACGTACTGATGAAAGTACTGCTTGTTGCGCCCTTGCAGCTTGCCGCTGAGATCTCCCAGAGCATATTGCTCCTGGGTGCCGTAGCCGGGTGGTGGCGCATGCTCCAGGCTCAGCTCGCGAGGATTGAGCAGCTCGCCCGTCGTCTCGCAGTAGTCCGGCTGGCCGATTCTTTGCGGCGCGGGCGGCAGGTTGTGAATGCGAAAGGCGGCTACATCTGCGGCAAACTTGTGACTCACATGCGGAGCATGTGGAGTGGACAGGGTGAAGTTGAGGAACGTGGGATCGAACTTGGAGCGCTGGCTAAAGGTGACCTCGCCCTTAACACCGCCCGAGTTGATGAAGGTTCTGGCGAACAAATCGAAATATTCAGTTACCCAATCAAAGTCGTATTAGGCTGGGACTCACTTGTAGTTTAAAGCTTGAACGTGTCGTATCTTGGTGCAGGCCAGATAGTTGTCCGGATGCTGATTGTCGTAGAGCATCAGGTAGAGCGTGCGATGCGGTATGGTCAGATCTGAGGGCAGCAGCGCCAGCTGTGCATCCCGAAAGACGCTGCGTTGCGGCCGACGCAACGCGTTCTTGGCCACGCCAATTCGGCCAAGACGCGAATCCAAGTCGCCAATGCCTCGACCTGGACCCTGGCCCTGCGGATCGAAGACCAGCTGCAGGAAATTGCAGTTGTCCTCGCTGCGATGATGGTCGAGCTTGAAGATGTCCGTCACAAAGATCTTCCAGTGATGCTGCGTGAACGCTTTCTCGTCCTCGGGCTGTGCCTGTATGTGATACAGATCCGAGTAGATCAGCGTGTCGCCGATGGCGCCATCTGTCGGCGCCAGCCAGCGGAAGTACACAGAGCCCGCCACGGGCGTATTGAAGCGCGCCTCCGCCATGTGCTCCATGGAGTTCTGCACCGTGGTAATCGTAGCGCAGATCCGTGCGTTCGAGTTGATTTCCGTCAGCACCAGCGACTTTCCCCAAATGCCGTGATCACCGATCAGCTGCATCTTGTGCTCCCATCGAGCCGTCTCGTTGCCCGGCAGCACCAAATAGTCGAGCTCCTCATCAAAGCTGAGCACTTGGGCGCCCAGACGCTCCAGCTGACAGCGCTCATCGGGCTCTATGTTCGTGTAATCCACGGGAAAGCCTCGCACAGCCCAGCTCCACACCTGTTCCGGATACTGCAATGTCGCCTCCAGA